CTGGCTCTCCTCCCTCTTTACGTTCACTCACAATAATCCCTTACACCAAACCTTCCTCTGTTCCTCTACGCTGCTCTCAGGCAGAGTCCAGGGTTTATCTGCAGCCGTCAAAACATTTTATAATCCGTGTGCACCAGATTATTTAATCCCACACATTCATTGTACTTTGTGCAACATGCTTCTGGAAGTTGTCTCAGTGGGTTGTGCTCTGCCAGATTTCTGCAGCCTGTCACACTCTGGAGGTAACGTAAATCTGAAAAGGAAGAAGGTCAGATTCTTCGGGCATGACCCAAATTTACAAATATTAATGATTTCATTTCCTTTATAGGAGGAAAAAACAAAAATGAAAGGTGAAATGTCCTACCATCCTTTTGAAGAAATGTGTTTTCTTGTTTAGAAGAATATGTAGTTATTAACGACGTACCGAGGTTACTACAGGACAGGCCTGTTCAAGTCCAGGCCTGGAGGGCTGGTATCCAGCTCGTTTTAGTTTAAACCTGCTTCATCCACCTGACTCCAGTCAGCAGGTGATTAACAGGCTTCTGCAGAGTCTGGTGAGCTGCTGCAGGTGATTCAGCCACGCAATCTAGTGTGTTGGAGCAGAGAAACCACTAAAATGGGTGGATACCGGCCCTCGAGGCCCGAACGTGAATTGTCCTGCTATAGGACATATATTACAGTATTTATGGTCAAATAACAACTTTGTGTGTGATGAGCAGCCTTCCCCACATAACTCCATCAGACGACATAATCATTTCTATTTTCTAGCTTATTGAGCAGCCTCTACTCAGAGAAACAGAGCCGATCTCAGCTGCGGTAGAGGAAACTGTGATGCAGAGCGACTGCAGAGCAGCTACAAAGTGACTGCAGAGCAGCTACAGAACAACTGCAGAGTGGCTGCAGAGCAGCTACAGAGCAGCTGCAGAACAACTGCAGAGTGGCTGCAGAGTGACTGCAGAGCGGCTGCAGAGCAGCTACAGAGCAGCTGCAGAACAACTGCAGAGTGACTGCAGAGCGGCTGCAGAGCAGCTACAGAGCAGCTGCAGAACAACTGCAGAGTGGCTGCAAATCATGATTTCACCCAGCATTATTTTTCTGCTTTAGAAACAGATTTTACAAACAAATCTCTGAAAATAGAATCCAGCTGCTTCAACCAACCCACTGTCATCTGGACAAAGCAGGCAGCACTGTGAGGGTCATGTTCTTTGATGTCTCCAGTGCATTTAACACAATCCAGCCTGATGTTCTTTGCCAGAAACTCCAGAAGACACAGGTGGGGGCCTCAACTATCACCTGGATTAAAGACTACCTGACAAACAGACCACAGTTTGTGAGGCTGAAGAACTGCACATCAAACCAGGCGATCAGTAACACTGGAGCACCACAGGGGACTGTACTCTCACCATTCCTTTTCACCCTGTACACCTCAGACTTCCAGTACAAATCAGAGACCTGTCATCTACAGAAATACTCAGATGACTCTGCAGTTGTCGGGTGTATCAGAGATGGACAGGAAGCTGAGTACAGAGAGCTGGTGGAGCGCTTTGTGGCATGGTGTGGAAACAATCATCTGACCTTGAACGTGAACAAAACAAAGGAGATGATTTTAGACTTCAGAAGAAACAGGGCGGAGTCAAACACTGTTTCCATCATGGGAGAAGAAGTGGAGGTGGTTGAGGAACACAAACACCTTGGAGTTCACCTGGACAACAGACTGGACTGGAGAAAGAACAGCGAAGCCGTTTACAAGAAGGGACACAGCAGACTGCACTTCTTGAGGACGCTTAGGTCCTTCAATGTCTGTAGCAAGATGCTGCAGATCTTCTACAAGTCTGTTGTTGAGAGTGTAATCTCTTCAGCCATCGTCTGTTGGGGTAGCAGCATCAGAAGCAGGGACCTGAAAAGGCTCAACAGCCTAATAAAAAAGGCTGGTTCTGTTCCGGGGACGACTGTGGAACCGCTGGAGGAGATGATGCAAAGAAGGATTCTCCAGAGAATCAAGAACATGATGGACAACCCTGAGCATTCTCTTCACAAGACTGTCCGACAACGGAAGAGTGTCTTCAGTCAGAGGCTTCTTCAGTTTGGCTGCAACACTGACCGCTACTGGAGATCCTTCCTGCCAACAGCCGTTGTAATATACAACACCTCTTTGATGACCTGATTATTATTATTATTCTGAGCTACTACAGCAATCAGTTTCCCTCTGGGATTAATAAAGTCTTTTTGAATTGCATTGAATTGGATTAAATAGAAAAATAAACATGCTTATTTTTAATGAATCGGTCCAATAATTAGCCGAGTTCTTCTTTGACGGCAGCTCTTGCTGCACCAACTGTTTTACAGTAAAATAACCTTTTGTTGTTCTGACTTCTAGGGTGTGATGTCACCCCAGACCCTCCAGAGGCAGCGCAGCATCACTCCCTGCATCACAGACAGAGACCCGCTGCCCGACCCGTCCAGCGATAAAGACCCGGGGTCGCCCAGGGTTGGTGGGGCCACGCCCCCGCTGTCTCGGGTCATGGAGCGGGGGGGATCCTTCAGAGCTCCTTCAGGTCAGCTTGGCTGTAGTGACACGTCAGAGCTTCACCGAACATCCAGTTAAAGAACAATCAGATGAAGGCAGACTTCATCGGTTTACATTTACAGCTCATGAACTTTTGGTGTCGACCCGGTTAAAGACCTGAAACCTGCGTCTCACAGGACTGAGACGGAAAGCGTTTGTTCCTGATGGCACCAACACTTTATGTGCGGTTTGGTCTCCAACCTGGCCCAAAACCGTCTCCGGTTTGAGGTCCACTCTGACCTCACAGAAACCAAAACCTTTCCTTGGACCGAGCCGAGAGTTGGTGCCTGCCCGTCTGATGTAAACAGTTAGAAAGTGGGTCAACAACAGAGGTCAGGACCTGTTTCGAAGACACTTTTCTGACATCACATTTTATTCTAGAACCGTGAAACTTCCTCTCAAACTCTTGTTATCGTTAGTGTTCTGTGATAAAATCGTCTGACTGAAGGTGCGTTTGTGGCTTCGTGAGCTGTCGCCGACTCTTGGTCGGGCGTTTTCCGTGTCGTCTGTGATGAATGTCTGTTTTTCTGTCCCGCAGCCGTTGGGCCGAGGCAGCCTCTCCGGAGCGTTTCTGTAGCTCCGCCCCACCGTGTCTCAGATTGTCTTCGCCATGGCAACAGCAGCGATGCTCGGGCGGTGAGGGCTGTGTGCTTGCTGATGGGAGGGGCTGCAGCCTCCTCTGCTTTGGGCTACCTGACCTCCTGCCCCCCCTCCTCCCCCCTCGCCGCCAGAGCCCCGGACACGGCCCACGGCCCTGGGGGCTTGTCCGACCTCCCTGCAGGCGGTTCGTTCCACGCCTGCAGCCAGGACATCGACTCCCCACACTTCAACAGCTTCGACTTTGAGGCGGACTCCGACTTTGACGCCTTTGACTGTGGAGGTTTCGCCTTTTAAACGCCACCAGGAAGTAAACAGAGAAACCTTTTCCAAACCTTCCTTTCTCAACAGAATTCCCGCGTGGGCATTCCTTTGTAATACGAGGTCTTTGTTAATACTAGTCACATGTTGGGTTGTCTGTGCATCTGAATCATGAATGAATGAAGCTGCTCTTCCTGGCTGTGAGCCCGTGCTCCCCAGGTGAATAATTCATGCTCCTGACTCCTCTGACCACCGTCGGTGTGTGTCGTTTCTCTCTTTCCATGCCTGGCGCTGTCTGGGTTAGACCTCTAGATGGAAACGTTAAACATACTGTTTGGTGCTGTTGTCTTGAATGTTTTATAACTTCATGATGTGAGATTTCCTTCTGACCCGATTTGAGAGACACCCTTTACCCAGCGTTGGCTCACAGAAACGTGTGAATGGAGTTTAAAGGTGAGTTGTAAATAAATCCTGCCAACAGAACGACTCCGTGCCTTTTACTCCAGTCCAGTTGGTTTGCGTTTACAGCGGTGCAGGCAGTAGGAGTCTGGGGCGGAGGGATGATGACGCAGATTTCAGTAGTTTGTGTGTTTTTCATCAGTTTGTGCTGCTCTGATCAGCCTCAAAATGTTACATACAGAAAAGACAACATTTACCTTAAAATCCTAAATCTGCATCAGTCAGAGTTTGGTTTTTGAAATCAAACGCTGCAACGCCCTGACAGGAACAGCCTCTGTTAAGAAAAATAGATTTCATAATCTTCATAACTGACAAGCTAACAGCTAGTCTGAGAGCATAGCTGCCATTTTTACAATGGCTCATAATTCCTAATTTTAAAGCAACGTTCATGAAACTTTATACCGTCTTCAGTTTAACACTGTAATGGATTACAATTACATGTAATTAAGGACCGTAAGACATTAAAGATCCATATCTGGTATGAATCCCATCTCATGGACACCGGGTCATTTAAATCAGAAGATTGGATCTTTTTATTGCAGGGACTTTAAATAACACTTTGTATTAACTGAGAGACAAGAGAAGAGAGAGACTTTCAAACGTTTAAGGAAATTTATTACTAAACAATTTTTAAACAATTTAACAAGACTAACTTTCTAATGATGGATGTTCTGTTGGAATGAAGTGTGAGGTGAATGATGTTTAATTCAGAACCCTCGCATCCGGAGAAGCAAAGTCTGAGTGGGAAATGATGTTTTGCTCCTAACTGATCAGAGTTTGAGACCCGTAGTCATAAACACATGAGACGCCATTCTGTCGCATCCACATACCCTCAGTGAGAGCTCCTTACAGATCCGGATGCCAGGTCCACGACCCTCCTCTGGTACTGGAGCCGATGAAACAGCGTCACAGCACGACAAACCAGTCCTTGGATTGTCTCCAGGTAAAAAGCGACAGGTGGTTCACAGCGTCAAAAAGAGACCCTCCTTGGGTCAGCGAGTTCAGCTTTTATTCTGAAAGGAACCGTTGTTGGTTGGTAACAACAGATTTTTACCAGCTTGATGGTTCTCAGCTTGAAAAGACAAGTACAGATGGCCTGTCTGTACTTCACTTAACATGCGGTGAACTTGAGAACTGAACTTAAGATGGCGTTGGAACCGTTTTATTAATCTGGATGTTTTTGATTCTGGACGAATCAAAGCTGACAGATTTATAAACACCACAGAGACTCGCCACGCTTCAGACTAGGAAGGTTCTGATTGGATCAGCAACAGCAATGTGTCATGTGATTATTTACTTTAGTGTATCAGCGTGTCTAGTGACTAGAATAAGTCATTATTTATTAAAAACATATTAATCATAATATTGTGATTTCACAGATCGGTCACGTTGTATTATTGACTAACAGTTGTTTTGATTAGCTTTATTGGAAATAGAGTTCTTTGATCTGATAAAAGAAAAGAGTCTTCATCTTCTGTCGTCATTGCTGGAAAGTAAACAGTTTAGAAGCGAATGCATGACCTTGAGGCTGTTTCATGCACTCTGGCGCTGTGTCAGAGGGAGCTGTGGTTAATCAACCAACCAATCAATCAACCAATCAACCAATCAATCAATCAATCAATCAATCAATCAATACTTTATTAATCCCAGAGGGAAATTAGAGAAAATAACCTTGAGGAATGACTCCTTCATCATGTTACAACACCATATATCACAGTTTGATTCATTTTTGGCACGGCGAGGGAACAAAGAGAAAAGTTTTTATGTTGTATTAATGTCCACAGCTTTAATGACATTTTAAAGGTGTGGTTCACTGATTAAACCATGTATTAACGATGATTTCTGACTCTAATGGGTCACTCTGACTGTTTCATGCAGGCTGAACATGAAAATAGTCTCCTACACCTATCTTCTGCATTAGCTTCTAGACGGTGAAACTCTAGGATAGAAAAGCCTGACAGATCTACGTCACACTGTCACCAACATTCATGGACTCACCCGTCTGGACTCACGACGGGGAAGGCTGTTGTTGGTTTAGCGTCCAGGAAACAGCAGAGAACGTCTCTGCTGGTAGAAGCTAACTGTTAGCGTTAGCAACTCCACCACACGGCAGAACTCCTCCAGGCCTGTGTTATTTGTGGAGATAAAACATTAACGTTGCAGAGCAAACAGAGTCAGTGGTAGAGTCGTGTTGCTGTTAGCCAATCAGAGGCGAGATATCCACATATCAGGAAATAAGACTCCAAAACCTGCCATCTGAAGCTGCCCTCTCCTCCTACTGATTTGTACTTCCTGAAACAAGAGCATCTGAGCTTTCTTTCCTCAGGTGCCACTTACAAGCCATTCATTCCCACTAAACCACTAAACCACTAAACCACTAAACCACTGCAGATTTATGGATTAAACGGGTGTCCCACACCTTTAACTAAGGTCACAATTTACAGCAAGTTTACACAAACCCCAGATTCTGAACTTTCCAAACTTTTCTGGCGTGCTTTGAGCGACACCTCAGCCTGTTTTGAACAAAGCCTTTGCTTTTTTCTTTTAGGGTGTTGCCCTTTTCTCTGCTGTTGCACAACTGCTCTGTTTCATAATCCCAGCTGTGCTCAGGCTGCAGAACGTGCAGAGCTTTGGGCTCACCAACACCAGTCTGTAGTTTAAAGTTAGAAAGCTCTTCTTTAGCTCCATCCCTAAAGTTTTTCTCTGACTGAAAATCAGACAGAAGAAGAACAAGCGTCGGACTTCGGGTCCGAGAGGCGTTTTTTTTCTCTCGCATGCTTTGTTTCTGCTTGATCCAGGTGGAGGAGCACAGGAGGAGTCACACGGCTGACCCGTGACCTCCTGTTAAACATAAACAGCTGCTCAGATATAAGGAGCGACGTCACCGATCCGTTCAGTCAGAGGAACCGTCAGCAGCATTATGGAGGTTTTTACTTCTCTGATGGTCATCGGGCTGATCTCAGCTCTGCTCTGGCTGCTTCATCTTAGAAACACCAGGCATTTGCCTCCTGGACCCTTTTCTCTTCCTCTCATTGGAAACCTGCTGCAAATAAACAACAAGGCACCTTTTACAAGCTTTGTGGAGGTGAGTTATCAAATCCTCGTAACCAGTTGTGTGAAGCCACAGTTGACCAGTCTGTGCATCTGGATGCAGATGTTCAGGTATCTGTGCTTGTTTTACATTCAGTTCAGTAAAATCTACGGCCCTGTGATGACTCTTCACCTGGGCTGGCAGCGGACCGTGGTCCTGGTCGGATATGACGCCGTGAAAGAGGCCCTGGTGGACCAGGCAGACGACTTCACGGGCAGAGCACCGGTACCGTTTCTACACAGAGCCACCAGGGGCTTCGGTAAATCCACCATCCAAACTTTTCACCTCTGCATGAACAACGAGCTTTATTTAAACAGCGCTTTCAGACGGCCAACAGTCGGTCAAAGCCCTCAGCGTAACAGCAACAACAGTAAAAGCACAACACCAGGAGATAAAAGTCAGATTCAGTGCAATCAGATGGATAAAGCGAGTTTTTTAATCGTTTTATTTTGTTCACGCAGGGTTTGACATTTTTGACGGGGTCACAGTGGGACAAACGAGGTCAAACAATGAGGACAGCGAGGAA